CATGAGAGTTAAATTATTCAAGGCTTTGTAATGTTTCATCCAAAAATGCACTATCCGAAACTTATCTACTTAACAGAAACAATGGAAGAATCAATCATGAAAACAACATGTGTACTTTACCATTTGAAGATCAAAGTGTTACAATGTCGATGGAACAGTTATTTCGCTTAATTCGTATGTGTAAAATGCTCGAAACTATTGACTTTGACAGTTGTTCGACATCTTTCCGCGCCAGTCTTGTTTTCGAACAATCGCATCTTCTCGGCTCTTTCCGTCAATCTTCGGATAAGAGCTATTATTGATAATAGCCGAGATGTTCCGATATTTCCGGTCATTATCGAAATTCACATATTCTAAATACAAGAAAGGTGTCCTTTGTGCGGAAAAGATAGAGAAGAGAACAAGTATGTCGAAAATAAGGAATAAACCCTCTCATTACAATAAATATGACTAGAATTATAATTTCGGTTGATAGCCTATAACTATCTGTGACCTCAACTAGAGTACAGTACTTAGATATATTGTTCATTTTTGATAATATATACATGTACATCAACAAACTGCAATATTGATATAAAATTATAAAATTCAATTTAAACGCTATATATGTCATTTTCGCTCGGGTTCGTCAGAAAAAGCCACTTTCGGATTGGTCACTTATTATCTTATATAGACTTTTTAACAATACGATTTTTCATGACTTTTTCATCAGTAATTTAAATTAAAACAGCAGGGTGTTAAATATCACATTTTATTACCCATGTATTACATAATATTACACAACTGGTATTCCTTTTAAAGTGGATTGGCAAGGCGGTAAGTGTCAAACAGATTGACACGTTGTTATTTGCCAGCTACTTAACAATATTTATCATTCAACCGGATCGTTTTAGTACCATGACATATATATATAGTTAATTACTTAAAATTATGAAAATGATTAATCATAATATTTAAGTAATTTTTATTTATTAATAATCTCATCAATGTTTATTGAAATTGTGAAGTGACAAACAGTGTACGTGACGTGCGTTTCCATGAGTTACAATTAAGGAACCGTGTGTTATTCCATCACCCATCTTAACTTCACAAGAGTAAATATATTAAGTGACTTAAAAAATTTCTGTTTGGCATATCAGTTAAGTCGGATAAAGGATAAAATTAGCTAAACTGAAAACTAAAAATGCACTTTATCACGTGTTCCAACTTTTTTTCCAGAATGATATTTAACCTCGATTTTAAATGTTAATAAAATTTATATAAAAATGTTATATATTATATGTAATAAAAATATTTTTTAATATGGACTTTTTCAACAAGAATTAAATTGACTTCTTTATTTGCTAATATATATATTTCTACATATTTTTACAACAATATTTTTACAACAATAATCTCAATGTCAGGTCAGTGATGTAAGGGGGAATTCTTAAACAATCGTCTTTTCCATGCCTTTTGGGGACAATCTTGGCCACAAAGCTTTGGAGGCATCTTTAAAGCTATTTTATATGATTTTCTAATTTTTACCTTAAACAAACTCTGATTTTAGAAAATATCAAATGGTCCTCCCTAGAAAGCCGCATACTCCAACCCTTTCTCATATTCCTTTACAAAATACAGTACAATCTTGTAAATGTTGTTCATAAAAGCACCTCGTCCCAACTAGAAATTTGAACTTCCTGACCCCCAGTCTCGTAATCATGCAGTAGTATCACTTCAGCTCAAACTTTTCCAGAACTTTTAGCCACAGATCGATCAAATCAAGTCTCGGTCTAAATATTTTCAAGGATAACTAGGATGGACTGGTGACAACAGCCCTTTTCAAGTCCTCAAAATTCTATTTAGTTTAAAACCCTGTAAATTTTTATCTTTTAACAAAACACGGGTAGCACGAAATACCCCAATTAACAGGGGAAGGCGATGCTAAGTTAGTGTCTTGTCGCCCATGTAGGCATCAATAACCTTATGGTGGAAAAAAATAATATGATTTTATTACATCAATTTAAAATCGAACTGATTTGACCTATAAAATGCACGTATAACATATGTCATATTAAGCATTTAATGCCTAAATAGAGGCACATCAATCAGAAAACGGAAGTATTTACTTCATATCATGTAGCAAAACAATTATTTTAAATATGTATAATAATGTAAAACCTATATCTAGTGTGAGTCTTACCCCGATTTGTGTTAGAATTCTTTTCATGCCATTTTGTACAATAAAAATAATTACTTTGGAAAAAAAGTGAGCAAACGATCTGCAGTTTTGCACCCACACTTTTGGTATAAAATAATTGCATTTTTAAAAATCTGGAAACAAAGTGATCCCTCGAAAGCATTAATCACAACAAAATTACAAGAGAATTGCAGACTCGGTTTGATTGAGTATGTATATATGAGGGACAATGAATACGTGCAACATCCCTCTCTTATTTAAAGTCTCCCGATTGATATACACGTTTAAAGTTTTACTTAATTGCACAAGGGAGTTGGAAATTTAAGTCCAATGAATACAGATGTGTTTGAAATATTTGAAAACGATAACAACGCCTTCTTTAACATATTATATACCCGATAACTATTAGCTGGAAATTTCTGTCAAAAATTAGGAACTATATAAAGCAAGTTTAATTATTATATCTTTGAAATTGCTTTATGTTACTATTTGCGAATTAATCGAAGAACAAACTTGAATATTCGAGAACAACATATTTTAACTATGTTATATAAATTTAATTATCTAATTCTAAAGTATTTCATGTCCTTAATATACCATATGCATATATTTTGATGACCTTATAAACATATATGTGCGCATGGCCCACGGTTAAAGTTTAGAACAATTTTAAGTTTTTGATCTAAGTCATGTATCGTTTCAAAATGTACAGCAAACTACAAAAATTGACTTGTCAAACACTTCATATTCAGAATGATAATGAAATGCAAAAAAATGTTTCAAAAATGTGTTTCAGAGGCATGAAAAAAACTCGAAATGATAAAACTATCATCGAATGATCGAGCTTTACTTTCCTGTGAACACTTTTAGCGATTAATAAAATGTTGGAGTAATAGATTGGATCAGATTTCATTCAATTTAGATTATCTCTTACATCTTTAGCGATTAAACTTACATAAAAACAACACAATGGTTCTTGATCAGTTCAGAAATTTTACAGTTTTGAAAGCAATAATTTTTTTGCCAATTGCTTTCTCTGCAGGACTTTTAATCATCCTAATATTATTTGTTTGTTTGTTTGTTTTTTCACAAACGATGGAAGCATTTGACTGAGAATAGATACTAGGCAGAATTGATAAGCAAACTACGTTAAGGTCCAGGACAATATGGTTTTATAGCATTCCCTTCGTACAGAAAAACGAATTATTTTGAATTTTTGAATACATGTAATCATATTATAAGACCGACGATTGAACGTTTTCAGCAGGTTGTCGAAATTTACAGGCAAATGGTTTGTACAGGCGACAAACACTTTCGACCGGGTGCTAATGTTTATAAATGACGAAATACAGACGAAATACATTAGATAGATTTCTGAATAATTCTAAAGTTGTCATTGCAGTTATATCAAATAACTTCTTTGATAGCGAATATTGTTATCAGGAATTTGATCAAGCATGTCTGGAAGCCAAACTTATTATGTTTTTTTGTTGCTATGACTAAATAATGAAGAAAGAATGCCGCCATGAATGATAGAATTGTACAAAATAAATGTATGGGTTTCGTGGGACCGTGAACGAAATTGAGCATGCATAATGAAAAGCATGTGGGAGAATGTTTGTAATTCCACTCTGTATATTCTAATGAAATAGTTTATGGAATAGTTTACTGCCTGTAGCAAAAATTAAAATTAAACATTAATTGGGGCAAATACGGTCTTCTGTTAGTGTTTGGGACAGAATGAAAATACAAATACATTTTATTAGAGTTTAGATATGACATTGTTAAGGAATATATTTTGCTTTTTAATGTTTCTTTGAAGATTTTATTGTTTATAATTATATTGACGTGTAGCTTTTTGTTTACTTTTCTACAACGAATGGTACTGTCGGTATACATAACAATAATTATCCAAGTAATATATCTACATTGATTGATACATATTTTTTATCAGACAATGAACTTATACACCTCGATCTGTATATATCCTTATAAACGAAGAACATGCATTACATTTGGATTATAACTTGGATTATTACACTGGCCCGTCTGTCCTTTCAGTGCCCCTCCAAAGAAGTATTGTTTTTAAAGACCTTACTCATAGTTATTACTTGACTGGCATGCCCATTTATCAAGCTTTTGACCATTACTCGCTGGTTTTGGTGATTATCTTTATCATAATTCATTTGACTGTGCCAAAAATGGTAAATTTATACTTCTTGATATTTTGCTTGTTTCTGGGGATTTAACAGCTATATTCCAGAAAAAAAAATGTAAGAATACGTGTTGCTGTTGCGTATTTTTGCTTAATGAGTATGTGTCAAATCTTGTTGTTTTGTTTTTTTTATTTCAAACAGGTTAATATTGCTATTCTGCTCCACGGAATATATTTCATTAATTATACCATAAATTTGAATCCCTCTCAATGTATATGCACAGGGTGTTTCAAATAGGCAGTGTCTTACTTTGAATCAGGCTTTTATTTCTAATAAGCTTTTTTATTTATTTTTTTATCATTTATTTTGTGTTTGTTTTATGTTTGTTTGTTTGTTGGTTTTTTTACTGTCTTTTCAAAAAAAAAAAAAAAAAAAAAAAAAAAAAAAAAAAAAAAAAAACACAAAAAAAGGAGCTTGAAATTCTATCAATAATTGCTCTAAAGTCCTATCAATAAAATCCATACCTACAAAAAACATATTTGTATAGGTATGGATTTTTTTTTAAATCGGACTTTAAAAAGAGCGATTATTGATATAATTCAAGCTCATGTGGATTGTGATTCGATCCACGTACATTGCTACTAAAAAATTTCAGATAGTAATAAAGCATCTTACATGCCCTAATGCCATTACTTTTATGTTTGTACTTTCTATCATAATGTGTCAGCAGACAAGTAGGTAGGTAGGTAGATTCATGAACAGTTTGAACACTATCAAATTGTATAAGTTTTAAGATGACACTGCTAATTTAGATATTCGCATAGAGAAAGCGCCTGATACACACAGATGATAAAAGTGAAAGTGAAAGTAAACACGTAGTACATGTAGATCAATAAACATTTAACAAATCTACTACCATTACGATCAAGATAACAGTTCACGAACTCGACGAAGGTAATATATTACAGTACAGTAGACATGAATGCAAGATCTTGTTGTTGTTTTTTTTTAATGCTGATAATTGTTATAAAAATAAATTGCAAGTAATATAGAGATAATCTGATAATTATTGAAGGGAAGGATATTCTGTGAGAGACTAAATCATCATTTGAAAGGCATCTAGTCCAAATTATTAATATAAGACGCATATGCTTGTTGTAGCTTTGCCCATTAGTAAAGAAAAATCGCAAAGCAAAGTCTTACTTGTTGGATTAAGAGACATATCGACATATTTCACAGTTCAACAACAGTCAGGAAATATGTACGAAGTTGTGTAAACTGGTAAGGAATATTGGTCTGTACAAATAGTGTATATCATAAAAGATATATGAGGGCCTTTATCCCATATAAAATATATTTTCCCTGTGACAGAAAAGTTTTTCTAATTGTTATTTAAACTTCCCTGTTTGTTGCCATCTGCTGTCACATTGTTGAATTTTTTTCTTCAGGGTACAAATAACATTATTTTATGCTCATTAAAGGGACTCCACTGAGATTTTTTGGCATGGTTGGACTGAAAATATTTTTTCCAGATAAATGTACCATTTGATGTAGGTTTAGACCATTAATCTTTGTGCAAAGTTTAAGATCATTTGCGCACTTCGTTTTTCCAGAATTATTATTCAAATTGTAAAAAAAATGACCCAAAATGAAAAGCGTTTAGACGCTTTTCACTCAAATCGCGCTAAGGAAAGCATAAAAGTATGATTTTCAATTTATTTCAAAGTATATTTCTTAACTATTTTTGCATATATTTCTGTTTAAAGTGCCCTAGCTCATTTATGTAAGAAATTCAAATGTTATGTTTTTAGGCTTTTAAACTTCAGTGGAGTCCCTTTAATGTATGCTGAGTATCTTTTATACATGCAGTTCTTTTTATATTAAATTTTGCTTCTGTTGTTTTAATATTCTTCCCAGATGTTTTAAAACATGAATTCCAACATTTGTACCTTTAGAGCAAAAAGCTTGCATAATTCCCTTCAACAAAAACTTTGCTAAAATTTACTTCAGTAACATGTACTTGACAGTTTTTATGCGAGTGTTTTTTTTTTCATTTATTAAAGATTATTTCTTTTTATCAAAGAATTAGTTTAAAAACCCTGTTATAATAAGTTCATTATCATTTAACAATTTAAGTTTAATAATCTAAGTTTGTAGATACTAGTTTATTATCATTTAATAATTTAAGTTTGTACAAGTAAGATATTAGTTTAGGCAGTGATGAAACATTTATTACAGACTAAAAGCTCTGTGAAAAATATATATTCCAGTTTTAAGTGTGAATTTGTGCAATAAAAACAAGATATACCTGTTATGTTTCAGATGCTAAGTTGTACTTCTTTAAATCATATTTAAAACAATATTTAACATTTGTATGTATATTTACAATGCTCATGCAGTGCTAAAGTAGACTAAATTGAAGTGTTATCAATTTCATCACTATGTCATTCAAGTTCTTTGTTTAGAACAGGTTAAATATCTATCACCCATTGTTTTATTTTGTCTGATAACATAGCTTTATTATGTTACACTTAACTATTAATCATTCTTGATTTAAAATATCATTTGGTGTAAAAAAATGTAACAATACATTACAATATACAAATGATTATAAAGTATTAAGTATCTAGTATTTAAATCACTGCTGGTGAAATGTGTATGAATACACACCTAAGTGTTCTTTAAACATCTATAATGTAAAGCTAGTTGTCAAGGACTCGTGATTCTAACTGTCATGGAAACTGAATGTATTTTTATTTGAGATAAAGACTAAAATGAATTTTAGATTGATTTTAAAAAAAGTGTATCTTGATTATGATAAAGGATGCTTTAAGCTTAGAAAAACAATACATTAATGAAATAAAAAAATTAGAAATTCTGTGGAAAGGTTACAGTAAAATAGTCAGACAATTATGTTTTAACTGATGGGGTGCTCTAGTGGCCGTCCAATTCGTAGACTTTCTGTAAGCGAATCTTCTGACAGCATAGAATACAAAATGTACGAGGAATCTGAATCACCAAATCCTCATGTACATTGGGATGACAGTGATGAAGAAGAAGATGATGATGACTACTATACTGATCACGTTATGGATGCTTCAATGAATTTTAGAGATCGGGTAATGTCATCAAAAGGTCCAAGAAGTGCGGGAGCAAGATCGCGAGTAACCACGACAAGTGCTGGTGAAACTTTTGATGGGGGGAGTGAATATTTTGATATGTAAGAGGTTTTAATTGCTATCTTAATTAACTTCAACCCTAACTTATATTTAAAGTAGAAAACAGCAAGGATACCTCTCTTTTAAGATCCGTCATTTGTTATATGTACGGTACCACAAAATTAAGAAATCTGGTAGATAATCAATCTCTTTTTTAAATGAATGTATATAATTAACCAAAAATGTATTCATGCTGCTGTAATTATTTAGATTTTAGGATTTTGGTAAAGACGTACCAGTACCATGACCATTTTCGTTACACAATGTCATAACAATCTATTAATGCCAGGCTGTCATTTTGTATCAGGGCTTTTTAACTAATGACATCTCTAATTTTTGTAGGCTAAGTAAATTTACCAAATTCATTTTCACCCACATTCCATTTAAGGTTCATTAAATAAGCAGGTGATTTTCTATCATTTTGACAAGACATCATATCAACAAATTTGAGGCTCATCAATTCAACAAATTCAGGGCTTATCAATTCAACAAATAAAGGACAAAATTATCAAATCAACAAACTTGAGGCATATCAATTAAACACTTCCAGGACATATCATTTCAGCAAATTAAGGTATTAGCACCCTAATGCATTACCTCCGCTTTGAAGAGTATTCAAATAGGCTAGAACTACTGTTAACTACATTGAAAATGAGGGCCATGGGTTCAATCCCCAGACAGGTCAACTTTTTTTTTCTTTCTTTTTTTCTTTTAACATTATTTATGTATCTCTCATGTCCCATTTGGAAAGAAAAATGTGTTTTATTTTGATTTTTTAATTTATATAGGTATTTATTGGCTAAATTATGCTAAATATAGTAATAAATATGGTACCTGATATTTTCAAAGTGTAATATAATCAAAACTAGACGGTAAAAGTATTTCAAATTTTACAAGATCAACCAATATACTTTTATAAAAATTTAGGGAAACTTTGAAAACAGGCACTCATTTGGGTATATTTTAAGAATTTTTTAAATTAGGCTCCCTAAGTAGAAAAATGGTCAGACACGTGGTAAAAATGGGTGGGGTAGGGTAACATTTTTATACAGATTTCATAAATTTTAAGTAGAAACCATAATTTTGCTTATTTGGATTGTTAGCTAAATGGTACTATGTATATGTTTCTTTCCAAAAATTAATGGGAAAACATTTTTCATTAGAATGTTATTGCAGATTATTTAAAGGTTCCTACTTTCTAAAAAAGGGCCCTCATAACATCCCAGCTTGACTTCAGAAAAGTGGCCATAACTTAATTTCCGTACGGTAAACTTTGTTTAAATTTTGCATACAGGTGAACTTTAAGGTATACATCTGACTTATTATGTCAATTTTTTAGTTCCTGATAGTGCCCATTAGGGTCCTAATACCTTAAGGGCATATCAATTCATCAAATTAAGGGCATGTCATATCAACTAATACTGTTTAACAGGGCATATCAATTCAACAATTTCAGGGGGTGTAATTGTTTAACACTGTTTAAATTAGACTAAAGAGTTCTTATCATTGTCATTACAATATTTTAACTAACATAATTGAATAATTTGTTAAGTCTTTTATAATTTTTTTTTAAATTAACAGAAGCTTTAATTTTGTGTTGTTTTCATCATTATCTATGGAACACAATATGTATTGCAATAAGGGTTGCCTATATCACAATATATTACTATACAGGTCTCATCATATCTTATCACTCTTATCACGGGGGTGGAACCCCATATGAATCTCAAAAATGAGCATCGGTAAATATGATATGTGAATTTCCGCTGCACCAGATGTGAAGCATAACACCAGATGTGACTGGAAAAATAGGCCGATCGCAGGGTAAGTTTTCATCTTTTCAAACATTTATATAAAATTCAATCCTTTTTTTAAGAAAATCGAAATGTGATTCTACCCTCCTGACTCTCCTCTACATTACCCCTTGTTGTTTTGGATTTCTATGCAGTCTTCATCGAGATATTCTTTCCGTCGTGGGTTCTGGTGTGTCCAAAACATGCAATATGAATGAAGAAAATGTCACTAAACGGACTCGAAAAACATAGATTTTACGAATCTCACTACAGGTCGATGCTAAACATTCAAACAAATCCTGGTTTAAATATTTATTGAGATTTGGCTACATACAAGGGAATCACTGCTCAAAATTGCATTTGAGCTCCAGATGTGCTGAAGAGATTCATATGTGCATAGCATGAAAAATTAGCAACAATCTAGAATTTATTCTATTGTGTATCATTCTGTAATAAATTCTATTATCCGAAATAGACACATTTTCACGAGACGAGCTTGAATAACATAGTATCCATATAGAAAGAGATATAAGACATTCTGCATACGAAAGGTTTTTAAAATACGTAGATATGGTGGGAAGGCCTTGCTTATTTTCACTTATTGACGTCGTGTGTACTGCAATCTTTCCCTTTTTATGCCGCCATGCATTAATTAATTAATTAATTAATTATTCACTCGACTGCACTGTCTGCTTAATAGGAGAGTAATGTGAAGCATGTTTGAATTTGTTATGATGCTGTAAGAAAGTTAGTGATAAACTTTTAAAAAAAGATCAAAGAAGATTTGCATATTTATTTTCCACATTAAGAAACGTCCCTGCAGAATATTTACATGGTTCACTTCATGCCCACAGTGGCAATTATGGGTCATTGCCTATCTGAATTTTATGCCTGCTCTGTAATTCTTTGAATGGTTTTAAAGAAACTTTAACATATCTTAACAGTATTGAGCGGACATGCGTAGCTCATAATGCACATAGATTGTTTCCTGAAAATGTTCATGTACGCAAAAAGATCACTGAACTTATTCTCCGCTTTATAACTGTTATTTCAGTGGGAACTGTAAATTATAAACACTTTCGTAATTCGTTTCTTTTGTTATTTTTCAGGAAAATGGGTCGTTTTCTAGGCACAAAAAGGAAAGGTTTAAAACTTCAAGAATAAAACGTCACGTGTATCGTGAAAAGAGGAAGTCATCAGCGCTTACATCTCCTTTTTCGCCTTTTAAATTGTCCCCATGTGTCAAAAGATTCCGCGTATCGCAGACTCCAAAGTCCAAAAATTCACCAGAAAGTGCACGTATTACTTTTTCCAATTCAAAGAAAAAACGCTTAATATTCAATTAACAACTATTAAGTCCCATGAAATGTTCTTCACAGAAAGGATTTGCAAAGATAAATAAAATCAGTTACAATGAACAGATAGACATTAGGGATGACATGGGTTACATAAAAAGTAACCGAGGTTTCGGGTGGGAAATTTTATTTATGGAGAGAAGCCAATCATAAATTGAAATTTTATGTTTATTAAAATTCTCATTTCTGTTTATCATGCGATAAAACAGTTATAATATATCGAACTCGACTATTATGTAGAAATATCATGACCTGGGGCGGCATCTCGGGTTTTCCTAACAAAAGAAAAACCTTCGATGCCGCACCAGGCCATGATATTTACACATAACAGTCTGTCGCTATAACTATAACTTGTGGAATATTAAAGTGATAGATATTTTTATGAATGTAAACATTATTAAAGAAACATATTATATGACACGATAGCTTTACAAAGTTCAATACTCTCAGTTTGGTTTGTCCAAGTTACATATCATTTATTAGTGAATTGTTTATCATAAGAGTACTATCCGCTCTGCTTCAACATTTTCATGTACTCGGGCCTTTTAGTATTTCTAATGCTATTATAAGCTAGTAAGCTCTGTTACTGTGGTAATCAAACACACTAATGTTACAATTAAACTTTCAGCCAAAGATGCAAAACCTATATTGTTTCTATACATTGGCTATTCAATGATTATATGGAAGTGGTCCGTAGTTTTGTAGATGGTTTTCTACATCACATCTGGAGCTCAAATGCAATTTTGAGCAGCGATTCCCTTGTATGTAGCCAAATCTCAATAAATATTTAAACCAGAATTTGTTTGAATGTTTAGCATCGACCTGTAGTGAAATTTCGTAAAATCTATGTTTTTTGAGTCCGTTTAGTGACATTTTCTTCATTCATATTGCATGTTTTGGACACACCAGAACCCACGACGGAAAGAATATTTCGATGAAGACTGCATAGAAATCCAAAACAACAAGGGGTAATATAGAGGAGAGTCAGGAGGGTAGAATCATATTTCGATTTTCTTTAAAAAAGGATTGAATTTTATATAAATGTTTAAAAAGATGAAAAATTACCCTGCGATCGGCCTATTTTTCCAGTCACATCTGATGTTATGCTTCACATCTGATGCAGCGGAAATTCACATATCATTTTTACCGATGCTCATTTTTGAGATTCATATGGGGTTCCACCCCCGTGCTTATGTTGTTGTATTATTTTACAATGTTTAAGCTTAAATACTTTAATTATATTGTGCATGGCCAGTATGTGCCAAAAAATATTTTGTGAGAATTAAACAATAGAACTACCAGCATGTGTCTGTGTTGCACAATCTGTGTACATGCTAAAAAATAGATCCATAATACATAGACGGACATGTTTTATTTCTAGAGATACAATGACCGAGGGAAGATCCGAGATGACAGACTGGGATCAAGAGGAACCCGGCATACATGCTCCATCTCTGTCGTTATGGTACAATGATGAAGGGCCTGGAGATATTCTAACACAGGATGTTTATGTACCGAAGGTTGGACTTACAAAGTATACTTACTATTGTTGTCTACAGTGGAATGCTGGGATGAATGGTGGAGGTTATTGTGGGATACAGGATCATCCGAAGGGTCATAATTACATATTCTCATTGTGGGATCCTATAGATACAGACAAGAAGATCAAACCTATTTATGTTGTGAGTATACAGCAATTTGCTTTAGTACACAATCTATCAGAGCTAACAGTGCAAAAATTTTAACTAAGCTTTAGGAGTTCTTGCCATAAATTTAATTTATCTGCTTTTTTATTATAAAAATTTACCACTAAATGGAATATTCAAGGTAAACTATTTTTGAGATAAACCATACATTTGTTTTCAGTATAATAATTATTTTCTCAGTTTTTATATGCCCAAAGAAACATCAGGATGTATTATGGTATGGCATTGTCTGTCCTCACTTCTCTTTATTAAACAAAAGAAAATAACAAAAGAAATGAGCCGCGTCACGACAAAACCAACATAATGAGTTTGCGACCAGCATGGATCCAGACCAGCCTGCATGGATGCGCAGTCTGATCAGGATCCATTCTGTTCCCTATCAGTTTCTTTACTTGTAATAGGGTTTGTAAGTAAACAGCATGGATCCCGATCAGACTGCTCAGATGCGCAGGCTGGTCTGGATCCATGCTGGTCACAAACCCTTTATGTTGGTTTTGTCGTGACGCGGCTCAAATGGCCCCTTATTCCAATTTTGGTTGCATGTCTTTCTGTCTGTAGACAGTTAGTTTCAGCAGGATAACTTTTTGAGGGATTTCAGTGATTGTGAAATAGGAGAAATGGCTTGCCCTAGACAGGGTTTGAACCCACACAGCTTGCAATTCTTAGATTACAAGTCCGAGGTGTTAACCACTCAGCCATGCCACCTGTACTCTAATGATTGTGCTATTCTTGACATGTATACATGTTACATAACAACACAGATGAATTTTGATTTTTGCAGCAATCAACTTATTATTGATACAGTTATGCCCCTTTAAAAACAAATTTCCTTTGAAATTTTGAATTTGCTTTGAAATTTCTTTGGGATTTCAATGATTGTGTTTATATTTCTTCATGAAAGTATTGTTTATATTTGGCATGACAGTATTTTTCGTTTGAACATGAGATAAGTTTTGTTTTTTTTGGGTGCTGCAATCAACATTTTATTGAAAGAGTTATGCCCCTTTTAAAGCAATTTTCTGTAAAATTATGGGTTTCAGCAAGGTAATTTGAAAGATTTATCTTGAAGGCATACTTTTTACAGTGATACCTTCTTTTGGATTTGCCATCATTTTAAAATACACATAATTGTAATAGAGTTAAAAAGAAACACCATTTCAAACTTAAGTTAAATTGATGTAAACTTAATTCTATGACTGCTCAACATTTATCCATGATGCAAAAACATGATGGAAAATGATACTGTCTTTATTATGTTTATTATTTAAACAATTATATTTATATAATAATTCTTGCTATTTTATTCTGCATTTATATTGTTAAAAAAAGCTTTAAAAACAATGCTGCTGCCTTTCTACTATTTTTATCAGTCTTAAATATTTATTGTACTTGTAAGATTCCCAGCATTTTCTTACTGCCAAATAAAATTTCCTCTTAAATTTCAGAAAACCATTCTGAAAATCTACCGATAAGCTACATATTAATCTATTTTCCTCTCACTTTGTGTAAATTTGTATCGTAGATTATGGCAGTATTTACTACATGTACATTGTATTTACATGTCTTGATGCATATATAAATACTGTATTGTTCCCATGTTTTAGGGACCAGGAACTATCTATGAACCTTTTGGTGGGGAAGGCCAGGGCTTGAAGACTTGGAACTTTTCTTTAGGATGGGAACCAGACAACTGGTATACCCTTGTAACCAGACGCTGGGATGATGATGACAGGACATGCTATGGATTCTGGGTAAAACACCATTTAACCTTGGAATGGACCCATTTAGTGTCCTTAGAATTTCCGGTACCTGGCACATACTTTGAAACGTTAACCTGTAGTTTTCTGGAAGATTGGGAAGGAAGTGGGGACCAAGAACGTCGAGTTCATTACCAGAATGGCTACAAGCATGGTTTAAATGGAAAATGGCTACCATTTGATAAAGCAGTGTTTAGTATGGTAAATGAAACAAGATGTAAACTGTTTGAAAACAATTATGACTCTGGAGTTTTAGATGACACATTCTATTTGCATTCAGGTGGTCAGTCAATGCCAACAGGGGGCGCTGTCAATGGCGGAATGCTGAAAAGAAAGATGCCCCAGAAACCAGATGTTCTGCCGATATGCGTGTACCTGTCATCAGTTACTGCTGAGGAAGTGAGCTGGGATATACCTACAGGAAGTGTTCCACAGTTTCAGTATATTGTTTACATTGACAGAATGATCTATAAACAGGAAATAAACTCTGAAGCTAGAACATGTAAATTTAATACCCCACCGACGGAACTTGTTGAATTGTTAATTGAGGATATTTATGGACATGCTGTAAGGTCAAGGTTCAAGGTCAGTAACCCTCCAGATTGTGACCCAGAAACTAGGAAAAGATTAGAAGTGTATGTACCAACAGCAAGTCACTGAAGTAGACTTTTAAACTCTACAAACTGTCACAATTTTACTTACAGTCATGTGTATTAAGATATAAAGTAATGACTGGATTAGCCATTGTTGGATACCCACAGTTGATTAACATGTCACATAACATATAATCAATGTTAATGGTTCGGCCGTGGGTATCCTACAAGGGATAAGCATACAGTTATGTTATTTGGTACAACCAAGCAGATTTATGAATAATTTATCACTTTAAACACATATACTAAGTCTTACATAAGAGTTTTTGCCTTTGTATTTTTTCACAGTGAAATCAGACTTTAAGTGACTAACCTAATTTATTATATGCTTTCCGGTGGTTTATAGAAATATATCAGTGAAATATAAAACTGATAATTTCACTGTTTGAAACAGTGAAATTATCAATTTGATAATTTCTCTGTTTTGTATTTAAGTCCCTTAGGTTGTTTCAGTGAAGTACCAGCGTGCACAGTACTGGAAACCAACTTAATAATGTGACGTTGTTAATGACATCACATTGAATTATTATTTGGAGCGCTTTTCATTTAGTATCTTTTTAAACGTTTCTTTGCATGTAATAAAAAGAAAATTTGTTTACTTTAGTGTAAGATCGAAATACATTTAACCTTGTGGCTGCACCACTCGTGAAATATACGTTTTGGTGCTCGCTCGGTGAAACATATTCTGATCTTGCACTGAACTAAACAAATATCCTCTATTTACTTTTGCTGATCTCAATTCATTGCTGTGGTAGTGAATAGTAGTACGAAGCATTAAATTTTATATATTTGTAGTCATGAATAGGTTAAAAAGTTAAAGTTGCATGAAATTTTGTGGAATACCAAGTGCTGAATTGTGTGGACTGGAAAATCTATTTGGGCTGGTTTTGGTCAAAATGAAAACTTTCAATATTATGAAATATCAGATGAATTGTATATGAAATGAATTATAAATCTCATATGAAATGTTTTGTAATAACTCTAAAAGGTTTGCTCTCCACAAAATAATAAATATTTTAAGTTCTTTCTTCTGAAAATCAGGAGACAAATGAAGAATGTAAAACAATGGACAAATTAACAAATTTTGTTAATAAAAATCACCATTTTCAGGATAAATATACAAAATACTTCAATTTTTGTACTAAAATGTAATTTGACAATTTCATAAATATTGCTGTTAAAAATAGAATGACAGTTGGCACATTTTCAGTGATTTATTGTTAAAAATAATTCCTGTTAAAGTAAAAAGATTTAGAAATACTATACAGACTGAACATCATTACCTGAATGACTTGTTTTAAACACTTGAGAATCTTTCTTATCTGAAACTGTTGCCATGTTATATTAACTGATAAACAGATTTTGTTGATAATATTACTGATCTTGTATATTAAATATTCAAGTTTTGTTCATTGTTATGTCCTGCCAGTATATTTCATTTGTTTTTTTTAAATTATATAAAATTGTGTCTCATTTTATTATAGTAGTGATCTACTGTATGTGATAATGATGTAAATGATTAAATATTGTAAATGCATCATTCTAACTGAAAGATTTATTCTATCACACAAACTTTATGCAAGATAAACATATTTTCCAACAATAACAGCAATTCACTTCTGTTGCCAAACAAATCACAAGTCTTCAAATGTATCGTTAAAAATGAATAGAAGCTGTGTAATGAATGAAAAAGAAAAGATCAAATTTTTGGTTTGTAAAAATAAATAAATATGTTACAATTAAATTACATGTCATGTCACATACAGATTTAATGAATAATTTATTGAGTAGCTTGTGAATAACATGAATGTGAGATCATGTCTCATGAATATCGTATGTGTTATGATTGTTCTTATGTTATATATATATATATTTACATTAAAGTTATAACATACAATGTAAATCAAGTTTTGTTATTTTGTAATTCTGTGCTTAAAGCTACTTTCCCACATATTGTAATTTGAATGTTTTTGAAAGCAGATGTTATCAAAAGATAAAATTTCACCACAAGCTTACAGTACATTTATATGAAACTAGAAGATTAATACATGTCTTGTCCAACAAAAAACATCTGATCAAAGTATTATCAATGTTTACCCTGCTGTAATTTTAAACTGTAACAACATTTTATTTTGAAAATATCTACATGTACTTGAATTATAAACACACCTTTAATGGTTGCAGGTAGATCAGTTGGTTGCTGGTAGAATAAATTTGCACTTGGTAAGATTTTTTATTCCGCATTCAATTATGGACAGAAAAATTGCCAAAAAATTGTAGTAATAAGTTATATAACTTAACAGAGTCATGACGTTTTGTTATTGTGAAAAAAATATGTCTGCTATGTGATGAAGTTGAATGATATTCAACTTCATCATTAAATATTTATGAAATATACATATATAAATGCAAGAACTTGACCTTGAACCCAGTGACTCTCAACTCCAATCAAACTTAAAGGACCACTTGAGGTATGTTCCTTCTCAAAATATGAGATATTGGTTAAATAATACAAAGGCTGTATAAGATCCAAGCTATGTTCCTTCCAAATAAGAAAAATATCAGTCTTTAAATAGCCACTGAATAAGCAAATGTGTAGAAATCTATTACTTGACCTTGACCCCTAACTCAACCCAAAGAAGAATACCATGCAAGTTATCTTCCTATCAAATATGAAAGACATCTGAAAGATACATGGGCTGTATGGACAAAAGTGTAAAAGTCTATTGACCTTAACCCACTGACCCCTAACTCGTTACGAAGTTGGGTACGGCACATTCAGATACAAATTGCACGTATTGTTCAGCTAAAACTGACTGAATAGTGTCTTCCTCTGCTGTATTTTCAAGAGGATGTCGACTCAAAAAATCTGCAGGGTTTTCAGAACCTTTCTTGTACTGTACATGGAAGTCATATCCAACAAGTCGAAGTCTCCACCTTTCGCATATCAGTGGCTGATTCGATTTTGGATGGTTGAAAATTGCTTCAAGACACTTGGCATCTGTAATCAGTTTGAAAGGTTTTCCGTACAAATAATTTGAAATGTTCAATTGACACAAGTCCATTGCATTGTCTTTCTGACTGAGAATAACGTTGTTGAACTGGTGTCAAGGTTTTGCTAGAGTAAGTTATTATCTTATTATCCTGGCTCAATATTCCAGTGACTCCTACACCACTTGCATCAACGGTGAGTTCAAGTTCTTTATTCGGATTATAGTACAACATAACAGTGTCACTAGTCAATGCATCTTTCAGTTTTACGAAAGCACTTTCTTCGCTTTCTGTCCATCGCCATTTAATTCCTTTTTGAGTCAGTTTTCGTAACCACTCAGTCAATGTGGAATAGTTGTGGATAAATCTTGACAGGTAATTTGTCATTCCCAAAAAACTCCTTAATTTTACTACGTTTGTTGGGCTTGCAGCTTTCTGGATAGCTTTCACCTTTTCTGGATTTTGTGATATTCCTTGGTCAGGAAATATGTATCCATAGAACTTAATCTGGCTCACTTTGAACATACATTTCTTTCTGTTCAGGGTCAGATTTTTCTCTCTTAGTCTCTAGAAAAAAGCTTCGAGAAACTTATCCTGATTTATAATCTTCATCTTAGGCATACAAAAAATTGAAATCAATTGAACTTTATGGCATATCAGTTCAACAAATTCAGGAGTTTTTTATTTGTTAAATCCTGTTTAAATTAGACTTAATAAAGAGTTTGTATCATTATTTTTCCAATATTATTACTAAGTCTTATATCATTAATTATGAAGCTTTTCATAGTTTGTTAGTGTTTTATATTTTTTTAATTAATGTTGTTTTCATCATAATCTATGTATCAAATTATATCATAATACAGGTTTCACAATATCTTTGCACCCTTATAATTACATTGTTGTATTATTTTACAATGTTTAAGCATGTACCTGTCTGTGTTACTGTTTAAAAATGCACACTCACACTTGTACATTATCATATTGATAAATAGTCCCACAATACAACAGTTTTATTTTTAGAGATTCAATAGCTGAACAAAAATCCGAGATGACAGACTTTGACAAAGAGGAACCCGGCATAAGTGCTCCATCTCTGTGGTTACGGTACAACGATGAAGGGCCAGGTGATATTCTAACACAAGATGTGTATGTACCGAAGGTTGGACTAACAAAGTACACTTACTATTGTTGTCTACAGTGGAATGCTGGGATGAATGGTGGAGGTTATTGTGGGATACAGGATCATCCGAAAGGTCATAATTACATATTCTCATTGTGGAATCCTATAGATACAGACAAGAAGATCAAACCTATTTATGTTGTGAGTATACAGCAATTTACTTTTAAAGAATTTAGCAGTACACAATCTAACGATAGCTTTTAAGTGAGCCATAGGAGTTCTTAAAGATATACTAAATAGAAAATATTGAAAATTGCTACATAGTCTCTTTGTAAATATAAAAAGAACCTGTTTTGACTTCACATGAAGTAGATATTGTTTAAAACTCTAAATACTATAGGTGGTCACAGTATAAATATATAGTGTCATTAAAAAAAACCTGTCAGTTGTTTAAGAATTCAGGACCTGTTAAAGGGATACATTGTTTATTCATTCTTTTATTCAAATTAGACATATGTTGTAGTTTTCAATAAATTTCTGTGATTAAAATATTTTAATCAATGATGAATTTTAGTATATCTTTAATTGTTCTGGGTTTTTTAATCAAAATTTGCATGGAATTGAAAAATAAAACCCTACAAAATTTAATATTCAAGGTTAACCATGCTATTAGAGAGATACCAGTCATTTGTTTTCAGTTTGATAATATTTTTGAGTTTCTATACACCCAAAGATTTAACTTCAGGCGTATTATGGTATGGCATTGTCCATCTACACTTCCTAAAAACATACAGGGGCCAATTGAATCGGAATTCATTTGGTAACAATAGAATTAGGGGCCAATGGCCCTGTATGAAACAAAAGAAAACAGCAAAACTGAAAGAAATGGCCCCTTTCCAATTTCGGTTGTATTTCTTTCTGTCTTTAGACAATTTGTTTCAGAATGATAACTTTGGAAGTTTTTCAATGATTATGTGTTTATATTTGGCATGAAAGTATCAATATATTATATCAGAACACATGTCAAGTTTGTTTTTTGCACAAATCAAGTTATTATTGAAAGAGTTATGCCCCATTTTAGCCATATTTTTTCTTCAATTATTGGTTTCCACAGGATTTCAATGTGTGTGTTTAGATTAAACAAATTTATTTTAGTTTGATTGTGTTGGAAACTTTTAATAATAAGCTTTTTGAAACTCACAGTGACTCAAATTTTTTCCTGGAACCAACCAGTACTAAGCAATGAATGGAAAGTTTCTTGCTCATGGAAACTACGGCTTGCCCCTAATGGGGTTTAAACCCCATTGCAACCAGCAATTTTTAAATTTTTTGTGTGACCTCTTGGCCATGCCACCACTGAAATGATTGTGTTTATTATGTACACGATATGTTAACACACAGGTTAACATCAATTTTTGCAGCAATCAACTAAGTAATTTACACAGTTATGCCCCCTTTTAAGACAATTTTCTGTAAAATTATTGTTTTCCACAAGATAGCTTTTGAAGAATTTTACTGATCATGTTTTTATTTGGCATGAAAGTATTGTTTATATTTGGCATGACAGTATTTTATGTCCAAAAAAATGAGTTGAGTTACATTTTTGTTGCAATCAACATATTATTGAAAGAGTTATGCCCCTTGTAAAGCAAATTTCAGTAATATTACTGATTTCCGCAAGATAACTCTTGAAAGATTCATCTTGAAGGCATATTTTTTATCATGGATTTGCCATCTTTTGAAATCATGATATAATTGTAACCGAGTTTGAAACACCATTTCAAACTTAAATTGCTGTAATTTTCATTCTGTTTATTTTTTAATTTTAACAAGAAAGTAATTCTTGCTATTTAATCCTGCATTTATAATGTGAAAAAAGCCTTTAAAACTATGCTGGTGTCTTTCTACCGTTTTAATCAGCCCTGTGTTATTCATTGTACTTGTAAGATTCCCAGTCTTTTCTTACTGCCACATATTGTCGTCAGATTTTAAACTTCAGAAACCATTCTAAAACTCTACCGATGAACTACATTATTACTACATATTAACCCAATTTCCTCTCACTTTATGTACTGTAATTATGTTGTAATAGTGGCAGTATTTACTACATTTCTTAATGCATATATTAATACTGTATTGTTCCCATGTTTTAGGGACCAGGAACTATCTGTGAACCTTTTGGTGGTGAAGGGCAAGGTTTGAAGACCTGGAACTTTACTTTATGATGGGAACCAGACAACTGGTATACCCTTGTAACCAGACGCTGGGATGATTTTACTAAATTTCTTAATGCATATATTAATACTGTATTGTTCCCATGTTTTAGGGACCAGGAACTATCTGTGAACCTTTTGGTGGTGAAGGCCAAGGCTTGAAGACTTGGAACTTTACTTTAGGATGGGAACCAGACAACTGGTATACCCTTATTACCAGACGCTGGGATAATGATGACAAGACATGCTATGGATTCTGGGTAAAGAACCATTTAACCTTGGAATGGACCCATTTAGTGTCCTTAGAATTTCCGGTACCTGGCACATACTTTGAAAAGGTAACCAGTAGTTTTCTGGAAGATTGGGTAGGAAGTGGGGACCAAGAACGTCGAGTTCATTACCAGAATGGCTACAAGCATGGTTTAAATGGAAAATGGCTACCATTTGATAAAGCAGTGTTTAGAATGGTAAAAGAAACAAGATGTAAACTGTTTGAAAACAATTATGACTCTGGAGTTTTAGATGACACATTCTATTTGCATTCAGGTGGTCAGTCAATGCCAACAGGGGGCGCTGTCAATGGCGGAATGCTGAAAAGAAAGATGCCCCAGAAACCAGATGTTCTGCCAATATGCGTGAAACTGTCATCAATTTCTAATGAGGAAGTGAGCTGGGATATTCCTACAGGAAGTGTTCCACAGTTTCAGTATATTGTTTACATTGGCGGAAAGAGATATAAACAGGAAATAAACTCTGAAGCTAGAACATGTAAATTTAATACCCCACCCACAGAACTTGTTGAATTGGTAATCGAGGATATTTATGGGCATAAGGTCAAGGTTCAAGGTCAGTAACCCTCCAGATTGTGACCCTGAAACTAGGAAAAGATTAGAAGTATTTGTACCAACAGCAAGTCACTGAAGTAGACTTTTTTAAACCCTTACAAACTGTCACAATTTTACACGTGTATTAAGATATATAGTAATAACTTGATTAGCCATCGTCGGATAACCACAGTTGATAAACATGTCACATAACATGTAATAAATGTTAATGGTTCGGCCGTGGTTATCAGAGGTACAGCCATGTAATTTGAAACATCCAAGCAGAGTTAGGAATAATTTAGCACTTTGAACAGCTACACTAAGTCAAATTTAAGGGTTTTTGCCCTTATGGTCATAATTGGTTGTATTTTTTCACAGTGAAATCAGACTATTAAAGTGACTGTCTAGACAGTCTAATTTATTTTTGATGATCTCAATTCATTGTCAGACAGGTGTGGCTGTGGTAGTGAATAGTAGTTCAAAGCATTAAAGTTAAAATATTTGTAGTCATAAATAGGTTAAAAAGTTCAAGTTGCATGAAATTTTGTGGAATACCATTGAGTGCTGAATAGTGTAGAATGGAAAATGTATTGGGACTGGTTTTGGTCAAAATGAAAACTTTCAATATTATGAAATATCAGATGAATTGTATATAAAAATAAAAATGAGTTATTAATCCCATATTGAATATGTTGTAATAACTCAAAAAGGTTTGCTCTCTACAAAATAATCAATATTAGAAGTTTTTTCTTTTGGAAATCAGGAAACAAATGAAGAACAATGTAAAACAATGGACAAATTAACAGTTTTGGTGATATATTCACCATTTTTGGGATAAATATATAAAAATTATTTAATTTATGAACTTATAAAAAATTTGACAATTTCAGAAAAATTGCTGTTCAAAATAGAATGACAGTTTGCACATTTTCAATGATTTATTGCTAAAAATAATTCCTGTTAAAGCTAAAAGGAAGTGCCATAAATACTGAATATTATGCATGAATGACTTGAGAATCTTTCTTATCTGAAACTGTTGCCATGTTATATTAAAGGGACTCCGCCTAAAATATAACATTTGAATTTCTTACATAAATAAGTTGGGGCACTTTAAACAGAAATATATGCAAAGATAGTTAAGAAATATACTTTGAAATAAATTGAAAATGGTATTTTTATGCGTTTCTTAGCCCGATTTATAAATTGAAAATGGTATTTTTATGTGTTTCTCAGCCCGATTTGAGTAAAAAGCGTTTGAACACTTTTCGTTTCGGGTCATTTTTTTACAATTTGAATAATTATTCTGGAAAAACGAAGTGTGTGAATGAATAAAGATTAGTGGTCTAAACCTTCATCAAATGGTACATTTATCTGAAAAAATATTTTCAGTTGCATCATGTCAATAAACCTCAGTGGAGTCCCTTTAACTGATAAATGGATATTGTTGATAATATAACTGATCTTGTATTAAATATCCAAGTTTTGTTCATTTTTGTCCTGCCAGTATATTTCAATTGTTTTCTGAAATTATATCACACGATGTTTCATTTTATTATAGTAGTGTTATGTGTGATAACTTTAATGATGTAAATGAATAAATATTGTAAATGTATCACTCTAATGAAAGATTTATTTTATGACACAAACATTTAAAAACATATTACTAAGGTTTTTTTTGCATTTGCATTGAAAACGAATATACTTTATGCAAGATAAAATTTCAAACAATAAGGCAATCCACTTCTGTTCTGGTTAAAAAAATTCATCAGAGATAATCTTTTTGCCAGAAAAATCAATAGTCCTGATAATTTTTCATTTAAAAATGTTTAGTGAATGAACAACAAAGATAAGATATAAGGTTTGTAATATAAATAAATATGTTATAATCAAATTACTTACAGGTTTAATGAATAATTTATTGAGTAGCTTGTTTAAAATGAATGTTAAATCATGATGTCTCATGAATATTGTATGTGTTATGATAGTTCTGATGTTATATACATGTATATATATATCATATACATTTTATATGTATCACATATATTATACTACTAGATATGTTATGATGAAAAAGAATTGACTTTTTAATAGACCTAGTTCATGTACAGTCAAACCTGTATACCATGCTATATCATGCCATTGATGTTATGTAATATTACTGTGTACTGATGGACATATTGCCTTTGTATGAATAAAGTTTATCTATCTATCTATCTGTCTATCTATATTTACATTAAAGTTATAACATAAATCAAGTTTGTTATTTTGTAATTCTGTGCTTAAAGCTACTATCCAACACATTGTAATTTGAAGAATGATGTCATCAAAAGATAAAATTTCACCACAAGCTTACAGTACATTTATATGACTCTAGAAGATTAATACATGTCTTGTCCACCAAAAAACCATCTGATCAAAGTATTATCAATGTTTACCCTGCTGTAATTTTAAACTGTAACAACATTTTATTTTGAAAATATCTACATGTACTTGAATTATAAACACACCGTTAAATGGTTGCAGGTAGATCAGTTGGTTGCTGGCAGAACAATTGTGTGCTTGGTAAGATTTTTTTATTCTGCAATCAATTATTAACAGAAAAATTGCCAAAAAAAAAATGTAATAATAAGTTATATAACATAACAGAGTCATGATGTTCTGTTATTGTGAAAAATATAAGTTGGCATGTCTTTGCTATGTGATGAAGTTGAATGATATTCACCTTCATCATTAAATATTTATCAAATATACATATATAAATGCAAGAACTTGACCTTGAACCCAGTGACTCTAAACTCCAACCAAACTGAAAGGACCACTTGAGGTAATTGTTCCTTCTTAAAATATGAGATATTGGTAAAATAATACCAAGGCTGTATAAGATCCAAGCTATGTTCCTGCCAAATAAGAAAAATATCTGTCTATAAATAGCCACTGAATAAGCAAATGTGTAGATTACTTGACCTTGACCCTTAACTCAACCCATAGTAGAATACCATGCAAGTTATCTTCCTATCAAATATGAAAGACATCTGAAAGATTCATGAAGGCTGTATGAGCAAAAGTGTAAAACTCTATTGACCTTAACCCATTGTTACAAAGGAAGAATACCATGCATTATATCTTCATACCAAACAGACAGTACATAAATAAAGGCTGTATGGGCAAATGTGTAAAAATCTATTTTTGGCATTGATAACCTTAACCCAAATGACCCCTAACTTAACCCAAAGGAAGAGGACCTCCCTAGGCATGTCCATACTAAACATGAAAGACATCAATTTAAAAATTAAAGGCTGCATGAGCAAAAATGTTAAAATTCATATTTTTACACCAAATGAACCCTTATTCCACAGAAAAATATTAAATAAATGAGTAATTAGGAGAAATTTAAGATAAATCCAACTTGCCAGAATAGGTTAACCATACATATTTTCAAAGTGATAAAAAAAGGAAATAACCGGGAAAATGGATGGCAGTTATATTTCTTGGCAATATTATGTACTTTTTATTTTATGCTTTTCAGTGGATTACTGATTTATCCGTGAAAATTATATTTGGTAATTTCACAGTGAAAATTATCAAAATATAATTTCACTCTTTTCAATGACGAAACTACTTTTTTAAGATTTTCCCCATGTGGTACCTCAATTTTATTTTTGCTGACAATTCTGACAATGTCAGGCTGTTTAAAGAAAAAGCAAAACTGAAATTGATAAATAACTTAAATGTCAAAAGTAATAAAAAGAAGAAAACTTACTTCTATTCATTCAAATTCATGAAATTCCAATCACCAAATTTCGTTTTTTTGTTTCATTTTGACAGTCTCAAAAATACATTCCTTCCCCATGCAAAACTGCTCTTGATGACATTTGGGCATATTAAAGTATCCTACGAGCAATAACTGCCGTATGCTTTATGAAAAATTGAAAGCATTGACAGCCATAACTCGAAGAATAAGTTAAATCAACCCAGCGTTCTTGAGCAGGTTTCCAAGTTTTCCATTTTCCTAGCTCCTTTTCTGAATGTTTTCACATCTGTCAACACTTATTTTTTGTCTGTTTCAATCCTCAAATAAGTTTTCTTTCTTTTAAAAATGTGTATGACTAACAAATCCAAATTATATCCCTCTGAATCTTACACAATTATTTTCCTCCCATGAAATACACAACTTTAAAAAAATGGCTGCCGCTTACAATTTACAAAGCCAGGTCTAATATAAATTCGCACTAAGTAACAGAAATATGGATGGATGGTTGGACTTTTTCTCCTACAAGAATTGTTTGTTTTTATTATCAAAACAAGCGATCATTCATATTTTTTTAATAAAATTAATAAATATCACCGTCATTTAATGTTGATTGGCGGACTTATTTTTCAGCTCAAGACTTCTTTTTTTTAATGAGAAATTCCGAATAAATGGGGCTCTCAATGGGGGAAACAGTTTTTATATTAACGTTAAAATTATGGAAATTTCGTTTTAACTTGTTTTTAAGCATAAAATAAAAAGAAAATTTGTCTGTTTGTTGTGTAAGATGTAATTTTATTTCATCTCGTGAACTTTAAAAACAGTATTCTCACTCGTGGCTTCGCCACTCGTGAGAATACTGTTTTTAAAGCCCACTCGATGAAATAAAATTTCATCTTACACACAAACAAACAAATATCCTCTATGTATTAATAAGTAAGTGTGCAAATTATAAAGCCATTAGTACAGGTAGATAAATGCAACTTGCCTTCTTAGGTTAAACTCGTATGGACGGACAGACAGACTGATAATTGGAGAGTTTATGCCAGATGAGTAATAAAAACTTAACTTGATAATCCGTTTTAAAACTGACATTTATGTAGTAAGTTATATCTGCATCAAGCTGTCCTACTTGCTATATGTGAATGGGTGTGATAAAAGAGCTGTTTATATCTGTGCCAAGTGAAGCATAACAACTGTTACGGCACTTGTAACTACCGTAAATGCTGTGAAACCTTAACTATACTTATCGATATCTATATATGTTTTTGTAATCTAAAATGAAAATACAAACTGAATCTTTTTGCTTTATTTATTTCAACGGTACTTATGTAATACAAAAAGCATGTGAAAGACATTCCTGTAATTTACACTTCATTTCTAAGTATGTAAATATTTGCAATAATATCCATCCTAAATAAAAATGTAATAAATAAAAACCTGAGCAAAAAAGATTTATATATCTGTGTTTCATAGCCACCACTTATGCTACTGATAAGCCAACAGTTAAATTTTTGCAAAGTAAAAGTACCAACACACTTAAAGCCTCTGGATTCATGCTTATTTTCTTGAAAATTTTGAAAATGTATTGAAAAATAAAATATTGTCAAGTGAACAAAGAAAGTAATTTACACATTGCAAATGGCACATTCAATCCAAGTAAATTACCAAATAAAGGTCAAAATGCGCAAAAATAGCCCTTATTGCATTTGTCATGCAGTAGAAATATGGTGACAATTACTGGGGGAAAAAACATTCATTCATTGCATATAACATGTAAATCATTACATCAATTTTGAATATTTTCTATATCATTTATTGTTTTTATTTTCAAAGTTCATTTTTCCTAAAGTTGATTTTTTAAAAATATTGTGGCTCTTCTGGTGGCAAGCAACTTTAAATGTTTCCATTTATATTAGAGATATCCAGTGAAGTCATTATTGATTATTGAAGTAATATTTCAATCACTAGCTTTTTAGATCATGGAATAAAAAATTTCAGGACCAACATAAAAGTCAAAATTAGTTAAAGGTCAAGATGACTTTTCATTAACTCTAGCTGTTAGCTTTAGAATAAAACAATGTTGTGGCTTAAGTTTAAGTTGTCAGAAGTCAGCAAGTAAACTGTCTGGACAAAAATAATATGCTAGTGATCAATTTCATCACATTTACACATTCAAAGTACCTCTTAGCTTTAATTATATCTCTGAAAATTGAAAATCTGGTAGTAAAATTGCCACACCCATGACGTGATAATCTACAACAACTGCTGTAGAATATCACGTCATGGGTGTGGCAAATAACTGAATTATCAAAATTAGTTTTCTTCTTTTAACAATGTTTGACTGAGGTGGGGCCTGTATTGAAACATTCACTTATAATTGTTTGCATCAGACATATACTATTACATGTATAACTATATTTTAAATGTAGTGTAAGAATTTCAAAAGTAAAAGAACAAGAACTTAAGGAACTTAATTTTATTGCATTGTATTCCTTAATTTTGTTGCATGGAAATACATGCCAAAGTGCAAGAAAAATTAAAATAAAAAGAGCTATTGGTTGGTGTGCTTGACTATTCTATAAGAGCCTCAACAACGTAGAATTTTCTAAATGAAAGGGCTATAATTCTGTCAAAATTCAAATTAGGGTTAAGGACCTTGGATAGCGATCTATTATAATCTAAAATAAGTGTGTGAAGATTCAGCCTCTTCCCTTCAGTTGTTGTGGATGCAAAAACTTAAACCAAAGTGTAACACCAATGTCTTTGTTAGCACAATAGCTCTCCCTGTTCTTCAAATAGTCAAGCTAAAAATGTCGCCAAGCTGTAACAGACTTTATTCTGATAAACCATTAATACTAAATGTACTATAAATGTCATACTACACATAAGTTAAGCACCCGATGGTGGGTTATTATTATTATTATTGCACATCTTCGAAAATACATTAATGGAATCAAGTTGTTTGTCACGTAACCATATATGAGGTCTTTTCTCCTGGATAAATTCCACTGCCTTGTCTGGTGACCATCCATGGATCTGTAACGTAATATAAAGAAAACTTCTATTACCTAAAATATAGTGTTATTTATAGTTCATACAAAAAGTAAATAATTTAATACTTGTCAGTGATTTCCATTTACAATTAGAATATTCAGACTGGGTCCTTTATTAAAATTTGCCTGACTAATTAAGAGTATGATTCTTTGCTAACTGGTTACTTAGACACGTAGATCAGCCTTTGACAACCAAGGTGCTGTACACATTTAACATGTAAGAAACTGTAGTTGTTTCACTAAAATGGAGTGATTTCTGTATCCACTAAACTATCTGGCCTCACTGCCATTGCCTGCATTTATCCATTTTAACCATTTACCAAAATTTCATTAATTTAGCTACAGACATTAAAATTCCGTTACAAGGTTTCTTGTCCATATTAAGCTATTTAAATCTGAAAATCTGAAAATTTGGCTTAAAGAAATGTTCAACCAGTTAAGCCAATCACTATCTATATTTATCCTCCAGAAAACAAAAAGACTTTAAATCTTTTGAGGAGAGTCACATGTAAAGTTTGAACCTGTGGCAACTGTAGTATAAATAAACATTTCTCACACTATCAATGAAAATCACAATACTACAGTCTTTATTTAAATGCTTGCAGCAATGAAATGATTGAGACACCAGTATAATGCCAAGCTGGTCAACTTGCACATCGTGCTGTTTTACCACTACCAGGCTCTATACTGCTTGTTGACTACATTTATATTTTCATCTTGATATCCCAAAAATTGTTAATGGACAGTTCCAGACACTAGACAAGTCCATTTAAGAAATCAACAGATTGTAGGTTAGTTAGTGTGCTTTACAATAGCATAAGAACAAAGAAATTTTTAAATAATATATCTCAACTAACTTTGACTAGATAGCATGCTACAATGGTTGCACTACGGGTTCGTCCAGCCTTACAGTGAACATACACGCTGCCTAAATCTTTGTTACGATAATCCTCAATAAATGCAACAGCCTTTCCAATATTTTCCTGACTTGGACTGGCAGTAAAATCTACAGTAGGTATCTTCAACTGCTTTACACCAGCCTTCTCCCATTCCTGAAATTGTCAACAAAATATTTTTCATTTTAACCTCAAATAAACATACTATAAAATAGTTTTGAACTACAACAAAAGCACCCATAACTTAACTTCAAACCTGACTAGACTCAGAGTCTCTCTACACAGTTGACTGTTCATTTGTTATGTTATATCATAGAAACCCCTTAAACACAGAATGTAATGTAAGTTATTCAAAGCAAGATGACTTGTATTCAAATTCGAAGGTATATAATTTAATTCAGTCAGACATAAAGATTGCCTTGAAACAATGAAAACAAATTCTTGTTAGTTTCCAATATTGTCACAAATTCCCTTGTTTTTCACTACATTAACATTAATGAATAGGAAGACTGATCAGATTTATTACCAGTGGCATTTTTCTGTTGCTTATATTAGACAGCACTCTATGGGCTATAAGAAAGAATTCTTGCCAACAGACACTTACCAATACAGATGTGCTGCCATTCAATCTACATTTAATTAGTTTTTACTAGAATATACCTTTTATTAATGAAAGAATTGACAAAAAGTAACAAAGGGAGATAATGCTGATTCTTTATAAATCTAACCTCAGTGGTATTACAAAACTGCTCAAGTTCCCAATCCTCATTCAGTGTTATCACGCCTTTAACATTCTCTTCTCCTACTAACTGAAATATAAATACATATAAAATATCATCTTGTTAACATAATGTTAGATGATCTGATAACAATATAAATACAATGTATATAGTTAAACATGGTTTGGTAATACATTATCATGTGCATTTATAGATACAAACAAATATGATCTTGTTTACAATGTGCATGTTGGTGCATATTTTCTTTGTTGATGTTAAAATTTAAATCATTTGAACATAATACACTCACTACAAAATCAGAAGCTTGAAACATAAAGTTAATAAATGAGAATGACTACCTGTAAATCAAATTTGTAAATTAATATTAATTTTCCAACTGAATGACGCTGATTTTTGTACATAGTATAGAGCTGTCATCGATATCGACAATATCGATGTATCGTTGATATTTTTTTGCCGATCAATAATCGATACACATTTTAAAAAATCGATACTTTTGACTAATAAATTAAATGTCTAGAAATTATAAAATTCACCCAAAATATATACAGAAGCAGTTATTTATATCTAATGTTATGCTTTTGTTATTTAGTGGAATTATTTCATAGCAATGGTGACAAATAATTTGTCTGGAAAAAATCATGCAGTGGACAAGACACTGTACAGAACATGTTTTTGACTGAAATCATTGAAACAGGTATGAAAGTGAATGACAGACAAGTGAGTATAGGATATTATTGATATATCGGTGTATCGTTGATTTTAGTCACTTGACATCGATATATCGTTGATATGCTTTGCACTGAATCAATGACAGCTCTAACACAGTAACATAATCATGATAAATTGTAACATGTCATGTGTTTTCCTTCATAGACAAAGAATTTTCCTTTATTGTACATTATTCAACCATTTATCAGTAGTACAATGAAGCTGTGACTTTTGAATACACTTTACCATTACTTTGTATCTTAAAGCTAAACAGTGCAGCTTTTTATGTTGATACCTTTTAAAGGATTGGCTACATTGAAGATTTTTAATGACGATACCATAGCAATCATAAATAGCTTAACATTTTCTTCAATACAGACATTGAAGCTATAAAATAAATAAATGTTACATGTATTACATGTACAAAATACTGACCCATTTTGTCATTCCTCTGAATGGTAGTGCTCCAAGTAAAACAGTCTCATCTATTCTATCATACCAGTTCCTGCCAGTCACCTGGGCCATCACCACATTGTAGAAGAGAGTTGGGTAGAAGGCAACCTTATTCATTAAACTCATGATGAAGCTTCAATTAGTACAGTTCTTTGCAAACATTCTGTGTGCAAACAGTTATCTATTGTACTAATTTTACATGCAACAAACTTGCTTATATAAATGTATATATACCCGGTACCAAAAAAAGTATTTCTTATGTTGTCTTTCTCTGTTTATTACTGTTTTAGAAAGTTAAGGAAAGCAAGGTACCAATCCAACCTTTAATGTACACCTCCTTGGTGGTTTTATCAAGATGATGTTAATGTCATTGCCATTGATGTAGAATTTCTGAAAATAGTATAAATAGCACAGATTCAATCAAATTGTAAGACTTAGTTAATATAACTAGGGACGAGTTTATCAATAATATATTTAAATTTTAACATGTAACAGAGTTACCAATGTCTCCCACCTATGAGTAGTTTTACATGAAGCAAACAATTGTATTATTTCAAAAAATGAGGCATGGATCTAGACTTTCAATGCAAAATCTTGATAAATGCAAGATATGCACAATCATGCAATAATAAGTTAATAAAAGAAATAAAATAAAATAACTCCTGTATATAAGTAAGTATATAAGGAAGATTATTTGAAAATAATTTATGATGACGTTATGGTTCTGTTGCAGTGCACTCCATCTCACTGTTACCTATTCACATTTTAAGTTTCACTGGATCCCCCCAATACTTGCAGTTATTTTCTAAAAGGGAAATACAGACCACACAAACCTTGGACCTATTTATATAAGTGTTAATCTGACTAATTGGTGGTACAAGTCAGGGTGTTGCACATGACACCTTTTCTTAATATGGTATAATTTTTGTGCAAACTTATTTCAAAATCCTTAAATGAATGCCATGGAGAAGTTGCATAGTTGATCAGTTAATGTGAGGCAACTTCAGGAATTGCATATAATGATATACATGTATATTTTCTCATGACAATATGTTATTGTCATTCATACTACACTCACTCACTGGCTGTCATTTCGATAAATTTTGAAGACAAAATGGGCTCTAACTTGCAGAACAAGAGCCACCGCCGGGCGGGGGCAACACTCGACTTTTTACTTTCTCTAAAAGCAAACAAAGAAATGTTTGAACAAAATATTAACGTTTCCTTTTTTATAAAATAAATCATTCTGTTTTGTCACATTAGTTTTGTCTATATATTTTATTATTATATAAATTTACTAATTTATATATATATAAATAGAGACACCCAATTCGAAGTCACATGGTGGTGTCACGTGGTCAAGTCTCGTGGTGGTGTCACGTGGTGGAGTCACGTGGTGGAGTCACGTGGTGGAGTCACGTGGTGGAGTCACGTGGTGGAGTCACGTTGTGAAGTCACGTGGTGGTGTCACGTGGTGGTGTCACGTGGTGGAGTCACGTGGTGGAGTCACGTGGTGGAGTCACGTGGTGGTGTCACGTGGTGGAGTCACGTGGTGGAGTCACGTGGTGAAGTCACGTGGTAGTCACGTGGTGGAGTCACGTGGTGAAGTCACATTGTAGTCAGGTGGTGGGGTCACGTAGTGGAGTCCAGTGATGGAGTCACGTGGTGTAGTCACGTGGTGGAGTCACGTGGTGAAGTCATGTGGTGGAGTCATGTGGTGAAGTCACGTGGTGGAGTCACATGGTAGTCACGTGGTGGAGTCACGTGGTGGAGTCATGTGGTGGAGTCACGTTGTGAAGTCACGTGGTGGAGTCATGTGGTGGAGTCACGTGGTGGTGTCACGTGGAAGTCATGTGGTGGTGTCACGTGGTGGAGTTAGTGGTGTAGTCACGTGGTGGAGTCATGTGGTGGAGTCTCGTGGTGGAGACACATGGTGGAGTCACGTGGTGGAGTCACGTTGTGAAGTCATGTGGTGGAGTCATGTGGTGAAGTCACAATAAACAACAAGGTCTTGTCTTTAAGTATGTTCTGTTATAATATGAATTTCATCCCTTCAATAATAGCAAAGTAACAGCCAGTTACAGCCAAAACAAAGTCAAGGTCATTCATGAGTGAAGGTCAAGGTCTGTCAGGTTATTTTTAAGGGTTATCCTTGAAGATTATTATGTTCAAGTTTGAAGACAATCCATTCAAAAATAACAAAGTTACAGCCAATAATAGCCAAAAACATGAAAATTTCAATAATTTGACCTTCAAAGTCAAGGTCATTTATGAGTGAAGGTCAAGGTCTGTCAGGTTACTTTTAAGGATTATCCTTGAAGATTATTATGTTCAAGTTTGAAGACAATCCATTCAAAAATAACAAAGTTACAGCCAATAACAGCATGAACAAGCAAAATTTGGACTTTTAACCTTGAAGGTCAAGGTCATTTATGGATGAAGGTCAAGGTTAGTGTGGTCTACTGAAAGGTCTTGTCCCAAGGGTTGTTGTGGCCAAGTATAAAGACAATACACCAAGAAATAAAAAAGTTATGATCCAGGTACAAGTTTGCGGACGCCAACGGCTACGGCAACGGCAACGCGGCCGCGACTATAACAATACCTCTACTTTTTTTTTCAAAAAAAAAAAGTCGAGCTAATAAAACAGCTGTAATGAACATGTACTAAGGATTGTCCAGTAATATTACTAGGCACTATAGAGTATACTGTATCTGCCTGCTGATTAATATGACAGCACCTCTGCCCACACCAAAATTAAAGAAGACAGAAAGTAAAAATTCAACAGTATCTATTTCATTTTGACATAAAAATAGGAGTGAAACATCTCCAAGACGTTTCACTACAACTTTGTGAGTGTTAACTGGTGTTAACTGTCTTGGAAATGAAACGTCTGTCTACCAGAATTAATGGTCTATCAAATTTAAGTACACGTGTCAATAAAGTACAAGTTAATGACCAAAAACAATAACATTTAAGTCAGTCTGCAGTGTTAATAGGTTGTTTACAGAATATTATTTTACGATAATTTCATTACTGACAAGACAAATAGGCCGGATATCTGTGAGTGCAATACAATACATTATATACTGGTGCCTCATATTTCTGTGGTACCTACAACTCCAAGGTATTAGGCATAAACAGTCTCAAGTACCTCCTAGACCTCATGGCTCATGCACCTGCCAGTTGTTTCACTTTTGCTTTTATATTGTATTTTTATCGAAATGCTATATATTATTATACGACTGAGAAAACTTATAATTTTATTCAGATTAAGAGTAAAGTAAATAAAAATTTCACCATTTTACTTTTAGTTTTCTTACCTTTTAAGACAATTGTCTTTGTTAAACAACCATTGGGAGATTTGATAAATGCCATAGAGAAAATCCCAACTTTCAGACGGGGCTAGGTATAGATTTACTAAAAAAGATATATAGATGTACTAAAAGATAAAGATGACTATTGGTTTTGCTTTTGATACTGTTCAAATGTAAATTGCCTTGGAAATATGAGAACCACAACTTTACTCACTAGATAGCAGATAGGTGTTAATTAATATTAGATGAGACACCAATATACCATTGGACAGCTACTGAACATTTTGTAAAGGCCGTCTTTCTAAGACGTTAGAAGATTATATGTTGTAATAAAGCCGGAAATTTCCGATTAATATACCTTCAATTTACAATAAATATACCTAAATATATGTTAGTTAAGAATTTTCAGAGTTTAAAAGCTTTAAACTTACAGCTTCTGGATTTTTACCGAAAATTTGACATCTAGCATAAAATGGTGTATTTAAATCTAGGGGAGATAATCGTTGTAGTTTACAAATGGCGGTATCCGATTTCTGTACTGTAATGCTTCTACGATGGACACGTTGAGAGGTCTGATGGTCTCTGGCGGGCAAAGCTAAAAATAGAACCAAATATGGAATGAGATTACGGAAGAATCCGGAAAATGCCGATTGTACACGGACAATTTATCGGAAATACTCTTCCTTTTGAAGGTGACTTTCATCTAAAAAAGACCCAGAAATATTTGCAGGCATTCATTGCATATTTCGACTCACATATCTTGAAAAGCGATAAATCTGATTGTTTTTTATCTACACCATCGTTAAATCTGCATTCTAAGGCATTTTTGAGGTGGTGACCTCTGTTAATATTTGAAAAAGAGGCTGCGAGTTTCTGCTGTAACCAGTTTTCGCGTTTGCAATTTGATTTTCGGTTTTATTTTTGAGTTTTTTTGGACGCGTTAGTACCGCGAACGATTTAACATTGCATTTTTACGCGGTCTGAGTTTAGATATTTGTTGTATTTTATCTTATTTCAGTGAAATGGCGTTTGAGAAGTTTATATTTTCAGGTTTGGGTCCTATACTTGTTGCCGGCGATTCAAATGTACACAGAATCAACAACGTGGTCCTGGATAAAGATGTTTCCATTAAATGTTTACCCATTTCAGGTGAGAAGGCTATATAATATCAAGTATTATTTCTCTTTGCCAGTAAATTATACAGTGGGCATTACACCAATAACCAGTTTCCTAACTAGCAGACGACAGCTGACAGGCTATTTTTATCAGTTGAGTTTCAAGCAAAGTTAGCGTATCTCGGTGTAAATCATATGCAAATAAAATTTAAAACATATATGAAATAATAATACACATTTTGAATGAAAAATACTGGGGGCTAATCAATGCACCAAAGCCTGTGGACTAAAGAACCATTAAATTGTAAACTGTGAAAACATACATGTATATGTCAAGTTACCAAGGCCAAGGGTCCTTATTTCGTCTTGCCATAAATATGTAATGCAGTTTTCAAGAATTTACCCTTCCAGTTGCCTTCTTTTGAAGAATGTAACAAAGCAAATTACTGGTGAAATTCTTTTGTTTACACCCCAAGGTGTATAACAGTGGCCAAAAAGGGGGTGTTAAGACACATTTTCCCCTAAATCAGAAAATTACCAAGAACGCTTTAAATCAAGATACGCCAACTATTTTCATGAAAACAAGTACTAGATCTAAATAATATTGTTATAACCTGTTTGACATTGCTGTCTCGCAGAAGCATCAGTGAGGTAATCAATTAATAAAATGTACAATCTTTACCAGTACATAAGGATTAAACAGTGCATTTGGATGTATATAATTCGAATGTTAAATTATTGCGAAAGATGAAGCATAAAGGAGAAACACAGTGCATTTAAAGGATTTGTATTATTTTTATGTATTTACTCTAGTTCAGCTGAGTTGAAAAGAGCCTGGTGGCGCTTAATATGAACTTTAATGTGTCAACAATTTGCTGAAAATACTATAAAAATGAAATAGAAGTCATGAATACTGAATGATCAAATATAATGAAGCATTTGTATAAACTTGCAGTTTTAATGTTATGTGATGTGTGTTGAGTACAGGTCTTCAATCAGGAAATGACTTTCATTTTGTTTCAAACCTAGGAGCTAGATACACCAACGACAAGAAGGAGTTTAGAAAGAAGCTGAAGGCATGTTTAAGAGGAGATAGCTACAGACAACTCTATTTGTTTATGGGGTCCAATGATGTTTTGATATCTGACCACTTGTTCTACAGGTAGTAAAAGTTTGTTGCTCTGAACGTTTTTGCTATCATAATATCAATAGTTTTGATTATTTTGACAGGTCTGTATTTTTATGCCTCCACGGCTTTAATTGTATGTAGTAGAAACATGTTGCTGAGCTTAATATCTTGTTGCATTCACACTATATAAATATCAATGTTGAAGTGAAAATATTAAAACAACAATAGGCAAATTTTGTGTCCCAATTGTGACATTATAAAATTTTATTTTTAATATATATGCGTACAGATTGAATTATTGAGTACTTATTAACCAGGTTTTCAATTTTGAAAATCCTGGTTATTAGATTGGGGTATGGCGGGCGGATGGGCGGGCGGGCGTCAAACGAAATTGTGTCCGCTCTGTAACTCTTCAACCCTTTGAAGAATTTTGATGAAACTTCAGACAAATGTTTACCACATCAAGATGACGTGCAGAACGCATGTTCCGCATGGCTGGCTCCAAGGTCAAGGTCACAGTGACATTAACATTGAAAATCCTGTCCGCTCTGTAACTCTTCAACCCTTTGAAGAATTTTGATGAAACTTCAGACAAATGTTTACCACATCAAGATGACGTGCAGAACGCATGTTCCGCATGGCTGGCTCCAGACCTGGGGATGATTACATTGATCAGTAATTGATTAAATTACAATTACTTTCAGATTTTATAGTAATTGATTAAGATTGATTACTCACACTTGCCTCTGTAATCAATTGAATTACAATTACTTTAAGAGAGTAATTGATTGATAATTGATTACATTGAATGTACATTAGACCACCCCAGAATTAAGATCACCCCGCATTTAGGGACCATTTTTAAAAAGGTTCTTTATGCCAATGGTTTCATGATCCAGATTTAACCACCTGCTTATCCACTTCTAAGACCACCATATTCAGTCCAAGTTTTTGTTTTTATTTTGACCACTTATGTTAACACCTATCAAGATCTTAAATTTGTTGCTATGATCTGCTTGAAAGCTCTGATTTCAAAAGGTGTGAAAAACTGTTATTGTATGAAATTAGGTGAGAAGGTCCATTTTAGAGTGGTACATTGTTGCATTCAGCACATTTATTTTTTGAAAAATTAAATTTTTATTTGATTTATGTACATCATATAATAAGTGATACTGTAAAATTAAAGTTTAATTTCTTCAGAAATATATTTTCTTTTTATCAGATTAAATATCAAAGCATTTTTTGATAGAGTCTTTTATAATGTATTTGTAGGTACATGTTGTTTATTTATACATATTGTTTATTCATACAAAATGACTAAAGTAGACCATGGTCTTAAAGTATGTAAATAATGATTAGAATATTCACTTTGTTTCAGTCTGAATAGTGGTCTCAATTGAGGATTTTTACAGTATAAATGTAAAACAAAAATTAAACTGTATCATGTAAAATAAAGACATCCTTTAAATTTAAATAGTTTTCTGTTAAATCTGAAAGTAATCAATGTCAATCAAAATGTAATCATAATTACTGTCTGAATTTAAGCTGTAATTGATTAATTACAATTAATATAATCAATTTTGGGCAAGGTAATCAATTACATGATGATTACAGTGTAATCATGTAATCAATTACAAAATCAATGATTACAATTGATGATTACCCCAGGTCTGGCTGGCTCCAAGGTCAAGGTCACAGTGACATTAACATTGAAAATCCTGTCCGCTCTGTAACTCTTCAACCCTTTGAAGAATTTTGATGAAACTTCAGACAAATGTTTACCACATCAAGATGACGTGCAGAACGCATGTTCCGCATGGCTGGCTCCAAGGTCAAGGTCACAGTGACATTAACATTGAAAATCCTGTTTACATGATTTTAACTTGATTTGGCAGTCAAAGGTCATATTATCTTTGGAGGTAATTTAAAAAAGATATGATATATTATTTCATGTCTACTTTGTAACTTGTTTTTCATTATACAGAATTATCAATATAATTATAGTGAACAAATTCTTCTGTGCTGAACTCGTCCTACATTTCTCAACGGATTTTGTTCAAACTTTCACAGAAGCTTTGTCATCAAGCACCCTGGCACATATTGTCGGGGTTTTGTGATTGGATAGTTTTTGACCTAATTATGGCCCTTTGTTTTTTTCCTTATACATAATATTATAGTGAACACTTCTTCAGTGGCAATTCCTCCTACATTATTCATGTTTTACATTGCACATAGTTACATTGTTTGTTGCTTGTATTTGTATTTCAAATACAACATATTTATCTACAATGGTGATAATTGAAAACCTGGTTTCATGGCATTGCCATGTTTCTTGTTTCTTAAAGTATATTGGAAGAACATCAAGACGTCAAGTTAAAAGTGGCCATTTTCATGAAAATGATGGTCTGATATATTGGGGGAAACACTGATTTTTTTACCCAAGTAACACCATTTAAACACATTGGAGTTAAACATGAAATAGTTACTTTCTTAGAAAAATTCTACATGGTATTATGGTTGCACTGCAAAAGCAATTTATGTGATAGGTTACATACTTTAGTTGAAATTTAAGTTGCATCTAGTTTGAAAGATGGAATTTGAAATAATTTTGCCTAAAATTAAAATGTTCAACACATTGAGACTTTCATTACCCAGTTTGTAACTCAAAGCCCAAGGAAATTTTTTCATTGATAGTTATGTCTGGTCAGTAACTTTGCTTATAAATGTCAGGCATAATGACATTGTGCCACATGCAAGAATCAATCTGCAGGTCAAAGGTCACACTTAGACTTGAAAGGAATATGATTTAATGAAAGGGCATATAAATGGTTGTGGGCGGCATTATTTTTTGTTGAACATTATTATGATTATGTGTAATGTATAGGATTCACGTCTACAGGTAAAAGGTCAAGGTGACACTTGAAAGGTAAGTTTTTAGCTTACCTGAGCACAGCTCATGGTTAGCTATTGTGATTGTGCAGTGTCCGGCATTAACAATGTTTTTTAAACAATATCTCCTCCTAAACTATAAGGCCAATAATTGCAGCCAAACTTTACAGAAATGATCCTAAGAAGGTCCCGTTAAAAGTGTTCAAAAAATTAAATTCCATTGAAAACTCTGGTTTCCGTCGCAACCAATAGAAAAAACTTTAAAAATCTTCTTGTAAGAAACTGCAAGGCCTAGAGCTTAGATATTTGGTGGTTTAGCATCCTGTAATGGATTTCCACGAAAATTATTCAAATTATAGCCCAATATCTATAATCAATATTGGCCCTGCCACAGGGGTCACTTGATTTTACATAGACTTATATAGAAAAACTGAAAAATCATCTTGTCATGTGAATAATTATTTGTCCAAGAGCTTAGATATTTGGTGTGTAACATCCTCTAACAAACCTCTATTAAGTTTCTTCAAATTATGGCCCCAGGGTCAGTGTTGTCCCCGCGCAAGGGGTCACTTCATATTACATAGACTTATATAGGAAAACTTTTAAAAAAAATCTTCTGCTCAGAAACTATTTAGCATAGAGCTTTGCTACTTGGTGTGAAGCATTCTTTAGTGAACCTCTACCAAGATTGTTCAAATTATGACTCCAGGGTTAATATTGGTCCCAACCTGGGATCACTTGATTTTACCTAGCTTTATATCGGAAAACTGTAAGAAATCTTTTTCTCAGAAACTATTTGGCATAGAGCTTAGATATTTGGTGTGTAGCATTCTCTTGTGAACTTCTACCAAGATTGTTATAATTGTGGCCCCAGGGTCAATATTAGCCCCGCCCCAGGGTGGCTCGATTTAACATAAGACTTGTATAGGAAAACTTTAAAATATTTTCTTGTTAGAATCTATTAGAAACCCCAGGGTCAGTATTGGCCCCACCCAGCATCATCTAGTGAACCTCTGACAAGATCGTTCAAATTATGGCTCCAGGTCCAGTATTGGCCTTGCCCCGGGAGCACTTGATTTTACATATATTTGATATACAGCTATGAATTACACAGTTGCAGATAGAGAATTGAACAGTGGTATTAGTTGTCTTAGGTTTTGGCCTAGTTTTTATTTTTTACACCATTATCATTCTGTACTTGGATGATTGACCTGGGGCCAATGCCCCCATTGTTTAGTTATACTGGTAAATTAAAAATAATTATTTTTTTTAAATGTGATGATCAGCTTGGTTTGAGTTGTCAATAAATCTAAAACATCTCAAGTAATGATAACATGCTCAAAGATTGTTAATTATGTAATGAAGTAATGAAATGAATCCTCATTTTGTACATGTGTAACCTGTATACATAATGTCCAAAAAGCAATATTATTTAATTTTCTCAATTTTGGTCTGAAATTATCTATACTGAGGAACACTGTATTAATTTTTTTACAATTTCACGGATACCAAACACGTGGTTTCTTGAAAATGCAATAGAAATTTATTGCCTCCAATGAGAATTTTTTTGAATAATCCTTGTTTAACATTAAGTGCCAATCATATAGAAACTCATAATCATTTAGTGAATTAAAGGAGACAATAAGTACCTATGTGGTATCTTTTTTATACTAATCAAATTAAGTATTTTACAATTTTTTTGATGAATGCACAGCAATTAACTAGATGCTTTTATAATTTGTTTTGAGAGTCAGACGAAAATGGTGAAGAATTCACTGATTTATTATTAATGAAAATACTAGTTGTCATTTCATATAAATATTAAAATTCAGGAATATAACAGATGTGTGTGACATAGTCCATGAAATAGCTCCCAGTATTGACATTGTACTGTGTGAGATTCCACCAAGGAGACAAAGCAAGGGGAAATGGAGAATACCAGCACCTAAGTTGAAGAAGATGCAGGAGTGGATTGCTACAGCAAACAGTATTTTGAGAATCATCAGCTTATATACACCATATGTCAAATTCCTCAGTACATTTTTGGTATGAAACTAATATTTATCCTCTACTGGTTAGCTTATAATTTAAGGACTGCATATTTTCATCTTTATTTTTATTAAAATGTCTTCAGTTTCTGGTCTGATCAGTATAATATAATACTGTTTTACAAATCTACATGGTTATCATTCTGCTTTTTTACTCGAGGGAAATTTATGAGATTTCTTTTTTATCAGATTAAAAGTATATAGAAAAATTCTGGTTAAACGTCAATCCCTTGGAAGCAACAAAACCAAATTTGAAAATTGCAGACTCAGTTTTATTGAATTTGTTCATGAGAGATAGTGAAAAGTGTAACATCTCTCCCGCCCCCTATCAATCGCTTAAGTGGTATTCAAGCCTTGTACAGATTATTTTCAACAGTTAAAATATGTATATTCTTTAAATTGTAGAGTGCTCATCATCTGACTTTTGACGGACTTCATCTGAGCAGAGAAGGTGCTGAACAATGTTACAAGGTCATTGTAGAAGGTACCAGTGTGCGTGACAGACCAACATGTGACAACCACTCATCTTTTGATTTTGATTTGGAAGACTGGCCAGTTCTTGGGGAAGTTAGAATAAAGGAAACATTGAAGAAAATTAGATATGCAGATGTTGTTCAGACTGAGGTAACTTTGTCATTAAAAAGAGATAGGCATTAAATCTGTGAGTGTCTTTTGAGACCTGCATTATATTTCAACAGTGCTGAGTGCAAGTTGAAGTATCTTAAAATTCTATGCACACCAAAATTAAAAACAAAAATAAGAAATTATAAAATCTCTTCATTGTATTGTTCCTGCTATTGAAATTTACAGGAACAGTATATATTGGTATTCTGAAATATGCTGGTATGATTATTTGTTAGAACTTGGGCTTTGCTTGATTTGAATGTGTTGGTAATGATAATCAAAGAAAGTAAGAAACAGTATTGTATTGAGTTACAACTATATTATATGTCTTAAGATTGTCTTAACCACTCAATCTCTGTATAAACATTTTTTAATTATTTTGGTGACCAGACTATTCAAAGAAGTAATTTTATATGCCTTTAATATAGTAGAACTGTAATTTACCCCCATGTTGCTATTTTGTTGCAAGGCTTTTTCAGAAATATATGTGCAAGATGAGAGGGTAGAGAAACAGAAGAGCACTGAAAAAATTAAAGAGAAGCAGGTAATTGTTTTTATTTTTATTTTTTTGTTCACACTGACACTTTTATGGTCGTATGGCAACTTTAAGACAAGTTTTTACTGGTGGAGGAAAATTTGTGGGTGCCCCTCTGTGGACTATTTCATGAACATGCGGTGCTAAGTAGAACCACTGACTTTCTGCAAGCTAGCTGGATAGCTTTCTCACATGAAGGAATCCAAAGTTCCTGGTGGGATTAGAAACCCTAGCAATGACAGGCAAGTGAATGATGATCAAGTAAGGTTAAAAACTAAGAAAAGTTGCATATAAAAAGACTACATAGAAATATTTCTTCTCGCCTTTGTCATGATTCCTGTAATGTATATTGGCTTTTCAGATTGTATAACAAAAATGTAAAGCACATATATCAAATTAACAGAAAATAAACAAATAATTGCATAAATGTTATTATGACAATAAAGATTTAAGTATGTGTGTCCTTTCTACCCAGAATATTCATATCAAGTGCAGACAACCTAGTAAGAGAAGTAATGGGAAAAGCAGATTTGAAAGAAGACGCAACAAGTGGCTGAAGAAAAAGGTAATCATGCTACTGAAACTGTGAATTCAAATTGACATATTAAATTTGATCTATGTTTTATTTTTCTTTGCAAGGTAGTGCTAGCTTTTTCTATTATGATTGTATAATTTTTTTTATTTTTATGTATGGTGATGTAGTTTTAAGACTTTTTTGTACTATTTGTTTATTTAGTATGCTTTTACTCCTTTACTATAATTATGATACTTCAGGCTGCCTTTCTCTGCAATATCTCAATTATATGTGTTCCATGTTTGTCATGCTTTATATTCATAATAACATTTTTCAGTTTGCAAGGAATGTCAAGTTAAGGTACAATTTAAGAAAGTTTCTGTTTCTGATTAACATTCAGCATGCCCACTCAATTTTAAATGTAAGGGTACATGTACCATGTACCCCCTGTCATTGAAAATTGGGGGTACATTTCAAAATCTGGGGGTACACATAAGTTTAAACATGTTTTTGTTTGTAAGAACATTTTAGTCAACATAATATTAATGAACAGCTGTTTCACTTAGTATTACTACCCAGTAACACAGACACAAACTCATCACTTTAGGTAACAATATAACAGCCATTACAATCACTGGTATTTTGTTTAGTCCATATGATTATTACCCATAACCAAAATTTTGTATAGCCGAAATTATGTACATTTATTTCAAAATCTCTATTATTTATATTTTCATTTCATATGACATACGTAAATTTCACAATTGAAGGTAGTTGTTAAAAAATCAAGTGACTAACTTTTTGCTGATCATTGGAGAACTCAAAATACTTTTTGGCAGTTGTAAATATCCAAAACTTTTTAGTTCTTTTTTTCTTAAGACAGTACTTGTGACGTCAAAACATGACTAAAATATTTACGAATCAGACTGAGATGACTTTGAAAGCAGACATGCAATTGTGACCGGGTTTAGACTGTTCCTAACCATTGGTAGATGGCATAGGCTACCCCAAAGATTCATTCTGACGATTTTACTTTGCGTGCATGTACCCCCTGTTTACAATTTTTATGCGTGCATCTAGAATTTTGTGCATGAATTACGCACTGTAGTGCGTGAATGGGCATGCTGTCATTTAAATTGCATATTTTGTTTCATTCAAAAGTTGTTTGACCAATTTGAATCTTGAATGTTTATGTCGAATGCTAGATTGCTGTGTAATAGATTTTTATCTATTGTACAGAGTTAATCTGCAAGATTGTTGACGGTTAAGACTTTGTCTTGTTGTTTGTTAGAATAGAATTATGTTTTGACTAGATGTTATTATGGAAATAGGATATTTTGCTTTAAATCGTTGAAGTCAAAGAGCAGTTTATATATTTAATAACTGTTTATCTTAACTTATATCTTGTACAGTTATTATTGTTCATTTTCTTGTTTCATGTTGATTATTTGTTGCCTTCAAAAAGTTATTTTTTACCTTTTGTAATGTTTTGCTAAATGTAAGATGCATTATATGAGATCATTAAGACCATAGAAATGTGGTATTTTGATGGCATAAACAATGCAGTAAATAGTTGTTTATCCCCGTTTTTTTGGATATTTTTGCATGCCATTGCCCATCAAACAGTATGTATCATGAAATTTTTTTGTCCAAACTGAACAGTAGTCAGCCAATTTATTTGTTACATTGTATGCAGAATTTTCTTGTAGCTAGTTTTGCATGTCTATGTATCTCTGCTTCACCCAATTTTCCCAATATACCAATAATAAGACTATGTTGGTATTTCATATAATGTGTCACAACTCATTTCCAATATTTTGACAACGTCACACCTGTGCTTTATTAACATACTGTGTTAGATGTATATATATATATATTTTTTTTTTTTTTTTTAAGAATTAATTGAACTTATTTTAGGACATGTGTTACAGTATTTAATTCTCTTTGTTTCATGTCTTTGTGTAAAATGCCTAAGTTATGTATATATGTGCTATATTGTTTGTATGGCATGATATGTTGTGTGGTCATAAATGCTTATCTAAAACATGCTTACAAATTTACAGGAGTTTGGACCATTGCCAGGATTATGTTGTAGTCACTGTAACTGATGATGTAGCAGTGGAAGTGCCAGCTGGAAAATTACTTGGAGGATGTTTGGTTAGTTTTTTGATGACATTGCCTTTTAAGGCTTCTGTCTTTTTTATTAAAGAAATTTAAATATTATACTAAGTCATTTAATTATTGCAATGACTGGTATAAAAAAAATTTGAAGAAGCTTTGGGCAACTTTCAAGTTGATTGAAAATTTTTATGCCACAAAAGGAAAAATATAGCTTTAAAAATTCCCCGATTTAAAAATGTTAATGGCCCCTTTGGCCCCAAATTCTACTAAAAGAATAAATTGGGTGAAAAAATAGAATGTAATTATTTTCTGGCAAAATTATAAAAATTTTAAAGGTGGGGAAAAAAAATTTTTTAGATATTTCTGTTTTTCTTTTTTAGAATAATTCAATTTAAAAATAGTGTTTTGAAAATTGTTGTTAAAATTTTAACCTTCATTTGATTAAAGTTTTTCAGTTCATAATTAAAATTGATGCTTTTCAGAAGGCTAAAAAGGTCACTGTGCCAATATGCCAGCCAGTGCATAACATCAGTTATACCGATCATGAAATAAACAAATCAAGAAAAAAACAGGTAATTACTTATGCTATAATTGACAATTTTTATTGATAGTTACAGGACAAAGATTTTAAAAAATTCTGCCATCATTTCTGACCATGATAAGATAGTAGTAATATTTGAGTTCTAGGAAAAAATTGATTATAGTCATCCCAATAAGTCAAATAATACCAGCAACCTTGGTCATATGATAAAAATGTTCTTAATGTTTTAACAATGTTAGTGCAATATAAAACCCAACAAACAAAAGTTGATAATGTTCTTTTCTTTATAGAGATGGCTACCTTGCCCAGATTGTGATATTGTGTGTTCAAGAGATGACTTCCTGTTGGACCATGTTATAATACGTCATACAAAACTTCAAGAAACAGCACCCACTTCTCAATTAGATATAAAAGCTACTCATACAAGATTATTGGTATGTTCAAAAATTTGGATTCTATTACATGTATATAAAGTATATTCAGTTTTGGTTTATACAGAATTTATTTTATTTCCATTGTGTAAGAAGCTATAAGCTTATAGACACACTTTTGAATCCGTTCCTGGAACCAACCAGTACTGAGCAATGAGTGTAAAGTTTCTTCCTCAAGGAAACAACGACTTGCCCCTGACGGGGTAAGAACCTATGAGGTTAGCGATCATTAGATTACTAGTCCGAAGCCTTAACCACTCTGCCATGCCTTTCTGCTATTCAGTTTTAGATATCTTACTAAAGTAAGTTATTTTTGCACTGACAGGATTCAAATCAAGGGCCTTCTAATGTGGACCACTACAGCACTGAGCCACCTTACTAAACTTAACATACACTATCCATAAGATAGCTGTAAAATAGTTTAGAATCAATTGACACAATGCTAAGTACTTCTTAAATTATTCAAATCTGGTGTTCATAATAATTTTTTTATGCATTTTACCATAGACCAAAGATGAAAGATTTGAGGCCAGTCAGTACAACAATAGCTCTGAAGGAAAAGTTATATATCCACCACACTGTCATGGTAAGATATATGTATTAAAAGTACACTTAACTACTGTAATGTTTTACTTCACAACTTTATAAAAATAAGATATTGGCACTACTGGCAATTTTTATGTTATTTTGAAATACTATTTTAATATGCTCATTCACTTAAAATTGATTATTACACCCCAATATTCAGCTCGCCACACTCATTTTTGGAAATCCCGATGTCTTCCAAATACAGAATACTTTTAGTTGTGAGGACCGAAATGGGGTACTGAAATTATTCATTATTTTGTACAAAGAGAAGCAGTTTCCATACATAAAGTATAGCCCAACATAATTATATTAGGTCATTATATTAGTGCTATGTTTCACTTCAAATTGTTGAAGACACCATTTATCCGGTGTTTTTATAAATATTTTAATAAATATTTCATTCATAATATATAAGGCATACTAAATACCGGTAGAGATGTCCAGTAGTGGTATCCCGAAACAGTTACGTGACATGACATGCTTATATGCATGATAATTAACACATTTAAGCATTTGATTTATTAATAATTGGGTTATATAGGGTAAATTTTTGATATTATAACAAGTTTTCATCTTATTGTCTGCTTATCTATCAACAGGTAGTATTATTACAAAACCCTGATAGGGGCATCACATGACAGTATTTCAGCAATGTTTACATTTTGATAACACAAATATGAGTATTTAGAAAAAATAAATTTATGTACCTACTGCCGAACTTTTATTTAGATATTTTCCAGTTCATGCCTTTTTGTGATTAGATACCAATAATCAAAGAGCTTAGGTAAAAATCCAGCGTTTACATGAAAAATACAGGTACTGCTTCTGTACGGGAACTACTCGCATACTAGTAAACTTAGAATATCCTTACATTATCAAATTATAGATTAGACTTTAAAAACATATATAGATATACTCTTAAAGAAAGTATGACAAAAGTACTGATATATCCTTCTAGTTGTTTTCTAGTTGTTTAATGATTGATCATAGATTTATATGTTGGATTTCAGGTATTGAAAAAGATGTCAACACTGCAGAATTAGAAATTATCTTGTCCAATGATGTGAATCTGAATCCAGGCCCGGTAATGCACATTTAATATTTAATATTAATTTAAAAAAAATAAATACATCACATCCCTAGGGACATAGTATTCATCTTTTGTGTAGTACTTATCATTTGTATTTGTTGTCTTTCCTCTGAATTATTAATTACTGAGGTGCAAAGATGATGTTTATTGATAAATATTATTGTGATCAGGGTGAGTTTTAGTGACTGCCTTATTGTTTTTGGAAATTCCTGTATATCAGGAAAAAACATTACACCTGTTTAAAGTATTATACACTGAAACAATGTTTTTAATTCCAATTTATTTTCTTCGTTTAAAATGTACTTACTATTTAGACTGTTCGCTGCATGTGGGAAAATTGTGGAGAAAGAATTGCCAAAATTGGGGAGTTAGATGCACATGTCATTGCTCATGTTGTACGGGACAACTGTTGTAGATGGGAAGGTTGCCCAGGCTACACAGCAGAGATAAGGAACCTCTTAGAAATGCATGTTATTCGTCATGTCTATGATGTAAGTACTTGGCTTATGTATTTATTGCAATTGAATTGCTATAAATTTGTAAATTGTTGTAATGAATGACAATAGTTACTACTATTGATATTTTAAATTGAAAAGTATTCTTCAGCTCAGGTAGTTTGTTTCTTTACATTCCATCAATTTCTGTTGTAAGAATACATTTTTAAATGTATTTTGTGTTATATTATACAAAACATCAAATAAATGTACCTTAAATTTTCAGAATGAGAATTTGTTTCCAACATTGGAAGATTGGATTGCTGTACAAGCTGGTGGCAAATTATGCAATAAGACAAACTTGCACAATTGTCCTAAGCACCTTGTAAGTTAAATTTCATGGATATTTTTCTTATGATTTAAGGGGCCTGCTCCATTAATAGTCACAAGCAACATGCTTTTGGTAACAATTCTCTGACAACGATATTTCTAATTCCACTTGTTCTTCACTGCTTCTTCATATGATTCATGTAGAGAAGTTGGTCTCCACTTGGAGAATAATAATGCTAGCAGTGTTAATGATTCCCAGAACTCTTATTTGGTAACTGCCCTTTTCATTGTTAATTAAATAATAACTAAAAAATATTTTAACCAAAATTAAGAAATGAAAAATGAATCTAAGTATCTCATTGTTGAATATTGTCAACTAATACAGTATGTGTACCAATGATGTACAGTGTAACTGCTGAAAACCCAACACCCATGGGACTTGTCAAAAGTTGTTGATTTCAGAAATTTCCTGATTTCAGAGGTTTATGCCACAAAATGTCTTTTGTGGCCATTACTGTAATATCTTATGTAATAGTCTTTATTATCAGGATAATGATGTAAAGGAAAAGAATACATTTAAATTAACACTATATTTAATACTTGATCATAATGATACTTAGAAGGTTTTTTGTTCATTAAGACTATATCTAATGCAAATTTCTGAAATGACCATTATTTAAATATTGTTCTGTCTTCATTTGAATCAATTAAAGTTTGCTCATTTCTTATCTTACCCTGTTAAGTACAAATACCTTTAAATTTCTATCAGTTTGTAGAAATGTTGTTAAAAGCATAAACTTACATATTTTCTGATGCTAGTTAATTAATTAGTACATCAAATGCAATAA